AGTTAGCACTAACTCTGATTTAAAATTAAGTTAGCACTAACTCTGATTTAAAATCAAGTTAACACTAACTCTGATTTAAAGTTAAGTTAACACTTAGTTTATCTTGGCGATACGAACAAAAGCTTTATTTGTTATAAATCATTGTCAAGTATCAACTTTGTTAAGTAGTAACGTTGTTAAGTATCAACTTTGTTAAGTATCAACTTTGTTAAGTAGTAACGTTGTTAAGTATCAACTTTGTTAAGTAGTAACGTTGTTAAATATCAACTTTGTTAAGTAGTAACATTATTAATTAACAACTTTGTTAAGTAGTAACATTATTAATTAACAACTTTGTTAAGTAGTAACATTGCTGAGTATTAACTTTGTTAAGTAGTAACAATGCTAAGTATCAACTTTGATAAGTAGTAACATTGTTATGTATCAACTTTGTTAAGTAGTAACATTATTATGTATTAACTTTGATAAGTAGTAACATTGTTATGTATCAACTTTGTTAAGTAGTAACATTATTATGTATCAACTTTGATAAGTAGTAACATTGTTATGTATCAACTTTGTTAAGTAGTAACATTATTATGTATCAACTTTGTTAAGTAGTAACGCTATTAAGTATCAACTTTGTTAAGTAGTAACATTGTTATGCATCAACTTTGTTAAGTATATGGGGTTATATACATTTTGCTCACCACGGGGATCGATCCCTGTTTTAGAGTACAAGTCCTTAAGGTTTCAAATGAACCAATGGGAATAATGAACCCAACTTGAGCGCAAAAGTATAGGTGACCACTCTGCTAAGGTCATTAACTAGTTAAAGATCTATAGTACCATACCTGTTAAAGATCTATAGTACACACTTGTAGATCTATAGTACCATACTTGTTAAATATCTATACTACCACACCTGTTAAAGATCTATAGTACACACTTGTAGATCTATAGTACCATACTTGTTAAATATCTATACTACCACACTTGTTAAAGATCTATATATTTATAGTACCACACTTGTTAAAGATCTATAGTACCACACTTGTTATAGATCTATAGTACCATACTTGTTAAAAATCTATAGTACCATACTTGTTAAAGATCTATAGTACCATACTTGTTAGAGATCTATATTACCATACTTGTTAAAGATCCATAGTACCACACTCGTTAAAGATCTATAGTACCATACTTGTTAAAGATCTATAGTACCATACTTGTTAAAGATCCATAGTACCACACTTGTTAAAGATCTATAGTACCACACTTGTTAAAGATCTATAGTAGCATACTTGTTAAAGATCTATAGTACCACACTTGTTATAGATCTGTAGTACCAAACTTGTTAAAGATCTATAGTACCACACTTGTTAAAGATCTATAGTACCATACTTGTTAAAAAACTATAGTACCACACTTGTTAAAGATCTATAGAACCAGACTTGTTAAAGATCTATAGAACCAGACATGTTAAAGATCTATAGTACCACACTTGTTAAAGATCTATAGTACCAGACTTGTTAAAGATCTATAGTACCACACTTGTTAAAATCTATAGAACCACACTTGTAGATCTATAGTACCATACTTGTTAAAGATCTATAGAACCACACTTGTAGATCTATAGTACCAGACTTGTTAAAGATCTATAGTACCACACTTGTAGATCTATAGTACCAGACTTGTTAAAGATCTATAGTACCACACTTGTAGATCTATAGTACCATACTTGTTAAAGATCTATAGAACCACACTTGTAGATCTATAGAACCAGACTTGTTAAAGATCTATAGTGCCACACTTGTTAAAGATCTATAGTACCACACTTGTAGATCTATAGTACCATACTTGTTAAAGATCTATAGTACCACACTTGTTAAAGATCTATAGTACCACACTTGTTAAAGATCTAAAGTACCACACTTGTTAATTGGTGATTTGCCAGTTTAATACAAATTTCATGTTGATTGTCTTATGAAATAAATAAACAAACAAAAAACTGACACTTTATACGTATTGTTTCTCACGTACAGAAATGACAGACGTATCACTCCTCCGTCTACTTATAATCTCTCATCTGAGCCACCTAATGGGACAACTCGTGAGGAACAAGTCCACATGTTCAACACGGCAGTTAAAACATACGATTTAACTCGTACAGGTAGTTCTATTCTCACTGTTAACTCTTGTTGAGGTTTTAATGTGTCATCTTTACTCACCAAGACTTGTGATGATGGTTTAATCGTCTCTGATATTTTGATAATCCAAGTGTACACCAGTCTGTTATTTTTCTTATTGGGGGGGGGGGAAGTTTAGTATAAACATTCACCCACTAAAACCCACGTTACAGTTTAATAATGAAAACCACAAGAAACAAAGGTCAGGAATATAACCGTAAAAAGAACTGAATTTTTAAAGTATTATACTTTATATATGAATAGCATTTAATAGATTCTTTTGTTTACACCATCTAGTCTACTTTACAAGTTCCGATATTTAAAGAAAAGTCTCTTAGGCAGCGACTATAACATATAGATTTGAAATATTGTTTCTACTTGCCTCAGTTAACGTGAATTCTGACAGAGATTGATTTAAATGTTGTTTCTACTTGCCTCTATTTTTGTACAGTTAACGTGAATTCTGACAGAGATTGATTTTAAATGTTGTTTCTATTTGCCTCTATTTTTGTACAGTTAACGTGAATTCTGACAGAGATTGATTTGAAATGTTGTTTCTGCTTGCCTCTGTTTTTGTACAGTTAACGTGAATTCTGACAGAGATTGATTTTAAATGTTTGTTTCTACTTGCCTCTGTTTTTGTACAGTTAAGGTGAATTCTGACAGAGATTGATTTGAAATGTTGTTTCTACTTGCCTCTATTTTTGCACAGTTAACGTGGATTCTGACAGAGATTGATTTGAAATGTTGTTTCTACTTGCCTCTATTTTTGCACAGTTAACGTGGATTCTGACAGAGATTGATTTGAAATGTTGTTTCTACTTGCCTCTATTTCAAAACTTTACAATTACTAACCGTTAGAAGGTATTTTGAACTTAACAGAAGATGTTTTGCAGATTCTCGAAGTCCTAGTATTCACAGAGGCCGATCAGATCATCTTCGATCAAATATCTCCTGTGAGTCTAATGAAGAACCGACCACTAGTGAAAATAATATAGTAAGTATCTTGAAGCTTTACGACTTTATCTTATCTCTCAACTTACACTAAAGGTTATAACTTCTCAAGTTCTGACGAGTCTTCAGGTATTGTTGATTGAAGCTTTACGACTTTATCTTATCTCTCAACTTACACTAAAAGTTATAACTTCTCAAGTTCTTACGAGTATTCAGGTATTGTTGATTGAAGGTTTACGACTTTATCTCATCTCTCAACATACAGTAAAAGTTATAACTTCTCAAGTTCTGACGAGTCTTCAGGTATTGTTGATTAAGGGTTTACGACTTTATCTCATCTCTCAACATACAGTAAAAGTTATAACTTCTCAAGTTCTGACGAGTCTTCAGGTATTGTTGATTGAAGGTTTACGATTTTATCTCATCTCTCAACATATAGTAAAAGTTATAATTTCTCAAGTTCTAGCGAGTCTTCAGGTATTGTTGATTGAAGCTTTACGACTTTATATTCTGTCTCAACATACAGTAAAAGTTATAACCTCGCAAATTTTGACGAGTCTTCAGGTATTGTTGATTGAAGCTCTACGACTTTATCTCATCTCTCAACATGTAGTAAAAGTTATAACTTCTCAAGTTCTGACGAGTCTTCAGGTATTGTTGATTGAAGGTTTACGACTTTATATTCTCTCTCAAAATACAGTAAAAGTTATAACCTCTCAAGTTCTAACGAGTCTTCAGGTATTGTTGATTGAAGGTTTACGACTTTATCTCATCGCTCAACATACAGTAAAAGTTATAACTTCTCAAGTTCTAGCGAGTCTTCAGGTATTGTTGATTGAAGTTTTACGACTTTATATCCTCTCTCAACATACAGTAAAAGTTATAACCTCGCAAGTTCTGACGAATCTTCAGGTATTGTTGATTGAAGCTCTACGACTTTATCTCATCGCTCAATATACAGTAAAAGTTATAACTTCTCAAGTTCTAACGAGTCTTCAGGTATTGTTGATTGAAGCTTTACGACTTTATCTTATCTGTCAAAATACAGTAAAAGTTATAACCTCTCAAGTTCTAACGAGTCTTCAGGTATTGTTGATTGAAGCTTTACGACTTTATCTCATCTCTCAATATACAGTAAAAGTTATAACTTCTCAAGTTCTAACGAGTCTTTAGGTATTGTTGATTGAAGCTTTACGACTTTATCTCATCTCTCAACATACAGTAAAAGTTATAATCTCTCAAGTTCTGACGAGTCTTCAGGTATTGTTGATTGAAGGTTTACGACTTTATCTCATCTCTCAACATACAGTAAATGTTATAACTTCTCAAGTTCTAGCGAGTCTTCAGGTATTGTTGATTGAAGCTTTACGACTTTATCTTATCTCTCAACATACAGTAAAAGTTATAACCTCTCAAGTTCTGACGAGTCTTCAGGTATTGTTGATTGAAGGTTTACGATTTTATCTCATCTCTCAACATACAGTAAATGTTATAACTTCTCAAGTTCTGACGAGTCTTCAGGTATTGTTGATTGAAGGTTTACGGCTTTATATCATCTCTCAACATACAGTAAAAGTTATAACTTCTCAACTTTTGAAGGGTCGTCAGTTAGTAGGAACGTACTTTTTGAAATTTAGATTTACATGCGAAACTAAACTTCTAACAGGAAAAGATAAACAAATAATGTGAATGTTGGTGCAAGTATTTGTGCACGTGTAAGTCAATGTCTCTGTACGTGTGAGTGTATCTTTATAGGTTTGAATGTGTCTGTATAGGTCTTAGCTTGGTGTATCTGTCTTAATATGAGTATATTTGTATAGGCCTGAGTATGTCTGTGAATGTTTAAATATATCTGCATAAGTCTGAATCTACCTTTGTAGATGTAGGTGTATTTGTATTAATCTGAACGTATCTGTGGTAATCTGAACGTATCTGTGTTAATCTGAACGTATCTGTGTTAATATGGGTGTATCTGTGTGTGACTGTGTTAATCTGAACGTAACTCTGTTACTCTGAACGTATCTGTGCTAATGTGAGTATATTTGTATAGGCCTGAGTATGTCTGTGAATGTTTAAATTTATCTGCATAAGTCTGAATCTACATTTGTAGATGTGGGTGTATCTGTATTAATCTGAGTGTATCTGTGGTAATCTGAACGTATCTGTGTTAATCTGGGTTTATCTGTGTTAATCTGAGTGTATCTGTGTTAATATGGGTGTATCTGCGTGTAACTGTGTAATCTGTACGTAACTCTGTTACTCTGAACGTATCTGTGTTAATCTGGGTGTATCTGTGTTAATCTGGGTTTATCTGTGTTAATCTGTACGTATCTGTGTTAATCTGTGTGTATCTGTGTTAATCTGAACGTAACTTCGTTAATCTGAGTGTATCTGTGTTACTCTGAACGTATCTGTGTTAATCTGAACGTAACTCTGTTACTCTGAACGTATCTGTGTTAATCTAAACGTAACTCTGTTACTCTGAACGTATCTGTGTTAATCTGGGTGTATCTGTGTTAATATGGGTGTATCTGTGTGTAACTGTGTTAATCTGTACGTATCTGTGTGTAACTGTGTTAATCTGTACGTATCTGTGTTAATCTGGGTTTATCTGTGTTAATCTGTGTGTATCTGTGTTAATCTGAACGTAACTTTGTTAATCTGTACGTATCTGTGTTAATCTGGGTGTATCTGTGAAGGATTACATGTGATTGTGTATGTCAGATCTTTTGTATTTAGATATTTTAATACTTCTATTGAAATGGTCAAACAGTACATTGAAACCTTTCCTCAGACCCAGTTGAACCGCTGTTTTGATGATATTGAGAGATTTATCGCCAGGATTCGACATGCTGAAGCTGCTGTCAAAGAACTGGAAAGAAGACAGAAAAAAAGAAAAAACAAAAACAAAGATCTTGGAGGTATGTATATAGCATTATAAACAGAATAACACTTAATAAATTATTTCATTTGTATAGTACAAAAAACAGGTATGTCTTGTTTTCTTGCTTCGTAGAGTAAATATGTCTTATTTAGTTGGTTCTTGTAAGAAATTTGTTATGTTGTCAGTTGGTATAAACTGACCACAGAGACCCTCCTCAGTGACTCATCGGTAAGTATAGAGACTTTTAACCCTGTAAATCGGGTTTTTATACCCGTTTTTGGAACAGCTCAAATTACCCACTGTGCTTAACAAAAAACTGATCGTAAAGGCTTGATAACATTTACATCCAATGACTATGGTAGCCAAGTTGGATTCTTCTTGATAAATTTACATCTGGTGATTGTGGTAGCCAAGTTAGGTTCCTCTTGATAACATTTACATCCAGTGACTATGGTAGCCAAGTTGGGTTCCTCTTGATAACATTTACATCTGGTGACTGTGGTAGCCAAGTTAGGTTCCTAAACTCCTCCTCCTATTGTTCTTTGAACCAGTCTTTAACAGTCAGAACAGTATGAATTAGTGAAAGGTCTTCTTGAAACAGACCAGCTAATGTTTGGGAATAAAGTGTTCATCATAGGGTTAACTTGTTCTACAGTAAGGTTAAATGAACACTTGCTGTCACTTGACCTTTCAGTGAGATCATAGACCCTGAACTATTTCAACAGACAATTACAGAGTCTCCACCATGTTTAACTGATGGTACATGACGCTGAGGACTGTGAGCATCTTTGGTTAATCCCATATATAAACACATTAATTTGATAAGAAAATGGTAAAAGATGATTCAAACCTCATTTTTCAATTGATCTTCGGCCCAATCTTAGTGTTTCTGATGCCATTTTACTTGGAAATGTGCTATTTTACGTCATTAGAGAATAGTAAACCTACCTTGGTAACTCATCTTGTGCTGTTCTCTTCGAGTTGATTTGACAGATATCGGTTGTTAAAACCTCACCTTAAGTTCAACGCACACTTGTGATGCTGTAATCTTGTGTCTTCCCCTCATTTGTATTAATGCTGTATTCTTGTGTCTTCTCCTCACTCCTCGTGTTGATGCTGTACTCTTGTATCTTCTACTCACTCCTCGTGTTGATGCTGTACTCTTGTGTCTTCTCCTTACTCCTCGTGTTGATGCTGTACTCTCGTGTCTTCTCCTCACTCCTCAAGTTGATGCTTTACTTTTGTGTCTTCTCGTTACTCCACGTGTTGATGCTGTACACTTGTGTTATCTCCTCGCTCCTTGTGTTGATGCTGTACTCTTGTGTCTTCTCGTAACTCTACGTGTTGATGTTGTACACCTGTATCTTCTCCCCTCTCCTTCTCTTGATGATGCACACTTGTGTCTTCCCTTCATTCTTCGTACTGATGCTGTACTCTTGTATCTTCTCCTCGCTCCTCGTGTTGATGCTGCACTCTTGTGTCTTTTCCTCACTCCTTCTCTTGATGATGCACACTTGTGTCTTCTCCTCACTCCCGTGTTGATGCTGTACTCTTGTATCTTCTCCTCACTCCTCGTGTTGATGCTGTACTCTTGTGTCTTCTCCCCTCTCCTCGTGTTGATGCTGTACTCTTGTGTCTTCTCCTCACTCCTCGTGTTGATATAATTTAATCCACAGATACTTTACCATCACAGTAATTTCTTCAACTAGAAACATCAAACTTGGAGTAAAAAGGTGACCAACCTAGTAACCATTCTAAAGTCAGTAGTCGACTTTATGATTTTGTGTTTTGTTGCTCTACTGTTTAAAATTGTATTTTATTTGATTTCATCACGTAAGTGGTACCTGAAACATTTGTCTTGCTTGTTATTTTCAGATGGAATGTTGAGCATGAGGACCAAACCTCCCAGTGTACAGGAATTTCTTGACATTTTTCAAACATTTAAGCTGTCATTCAATCTTTTGGTAAGGTGTTTTATAAATATTATTTTTTATTTTAATGTATATCTCGTTAGTTTTAGAAAGTTCTGGTGAAGATATGCATCTTTGGAAAAACCATGATTTTTGGAAAGTATATGTTGATTATTTTTATAAATATTTCTTTTCTGTTTACTTTGCCTTGTGATAAGCCTGTTTGTTTGTTTGTTGAATTTCGCGTTAAGCTACTCAAGGGTTATCTACGCTAGCCGTTCCTAACTTAGGAGTGATAGACTAGAGGGAAGTCAGTTCCAGCTCTTGGGCTACTCTTTAACAACGAATAGTGGGATTGTAGAATAGTGGAATTGTTACATTATAACGCCCCATGGCTGAAACATACGGGATTCGAACCCGCGACCCACAGATCGTGAGTCGAGTGTCCTAGCCATCAGGCCATGACAGACTTTCTAATAAACAAACCATTCGGAAAGACATAATGTAGTTATATATTGTTATACGTATCTCAACAATGTGTTCTACTCACAATGATAGTTATAGTACAATTTATGTCGACTGGTTTTTCTGTATTTGAAGGGAAAACTGAAGAACCATATACATGACCCAGATGCACCTGGAATGGTCCACTTTTTGTTTCCTCCACTATCCGTAATTGTGGACGCTGCAAGAGAAGCTAATCATGGACACAATCTTGCTGCCAAAGTAGTAATTCCTCCGATAACAGGAGAAGCCGTACATTTACTTGAGGACTGTTGCACCCCAACAGAAAGAGACTTGTGGTATAGTTTAGGTGACACATGGATTCTTCCACAGTAAGTTCTTCATGGACAATGACTTAATTTTAGGTGGTAATTCAAATTACAAATTTATTTATGGAAACGATTGATTTTCAATTTCTAATTTAAATATTAACTTAAATTTTTTATTTTGGGTGACACATAGACTAAAGTTCTCTTTGTGGATAGTGGATGGTAAGTTACTAAAGTGACACATAAACTAAAGTTCTCTTTGTGGATAGTAGATGGTAAGTTAATAAAGTGACACATAGACTAAAGTTCTCTTTGTGGATAGTGGATGGTAAGTTAATAAAGTGACACATAGACTAAAGTTCTTTTTGTGGATAGTGGATGGTAAGTTAATAAAGTGACACATAGACTAAAGTTCTCTTTCTGGATAGTGGATGGTAAAGTGACACATAGACACCTAAAGCATATTCTATTCTTCCTCAGGAGGATTTTCATTTAACGTTAGTAGTGTCTTGGTAATATCCCTCTTAAGCCTTACATAAAGACACGACGCTTTTTTCAATAAATGCTCTTCAGAAGACGATTTGAAGTTGATATTAATCCGGTTTTTACAGAAAAGATCATCATATATTTAAAGAAATGATACTTTATAATCCACAGAAAAAGGTGGAACGACTCTAGAGAAGACGTTTATCCAGAACTGGCAGATGGGTGGGGATCAGAGTTTGTTTTTGAGGAGGACGGATGGAGATCTGAAGTTAGTGGCCCAGCAGCTCCCTCTGCTGATCAGATAATTCGTCAAAACGAATTAAAACGAGGCTCAGAAGAAGTATGCAGGATTAGTATTTACTTTACTATTGGGTTTACTCACATTTCAAGTATGTACACATGTGTGGAAAGGGTAAAATTACATTTTATTGGACAGTGAATTTCATTCATGAGTAAAGAATCAGGCTAATAGTGTCTTATATTATATCATAGTAGCCTCAAGAATCAGGCTGACAGTGTTTTATATTATATCATAGTAGCCTCAAGAATCAGGCTGACAGTGTCTTATATTATATTATAGTAGCCTCAATGAAACGACATGACCAGCTACAACAGTGACATGGAGGAAACGACGTTACTAGATACAACAGTGACAGGGAAGAAACGACATGACTAGATACAACAGTGACATGGAAGAAACGACATGACTAGGTACAACAGTGACATGGAGGAAACGACATGACTAGGTACAACAGTGACATGGAAGAAACGACATGACTAGGTACTACAGTGACATGGAGGAAACGACATGACCAGCTATCACAGTGACATGGAAGAAACGACATGACTAGGTACAACAGTGACATGGAAGAAACGACATGACTAGATACAATAGTGACGTGGAGGAAACGACATGACTAGGTACAACAGTGACATGGAAGAAACGACATGACTAGGTACAACAGTGACATGGAGGAAACGACATGACTAGGTACAACAGTGACATGGAAGAAACGACATGACTAGATACAACAGTGACGTGGAGGAAATGACATGACTAGGTACAACAGTGACATGGAGGAAACGACATGACTAGCTACTACAGTGACATGGAGGAAACGACATGACCAGCTATCACAGTGACATGGAAGAAACGACATGACTAGGTACAACAGTGACATGGAAGAAACGACATGACTAGATACAACAGTGACGTGGAAGAAACGACATGACTAGGTACAACAGTGACGTGGAGGAAACGACATGACTAGGTACAACAGTGACATGGAAGAAACGACATGACTAGCTATCACAGTGACATGGAAAAAACGGCATGACTAGGTACAACAGTGACATGGAGGAAACGACATGACTAGATACAACAGTGACATGGAAGAAACGACATGACTAGATACAACAGTGACATGGAAGAAACGACATGACTAGCTATCACAGTGACATGGAAAAAACGGCATGACTAGGTACAACAGTGACATGGAAGAAACGACATGACTAGTAACATAAAGGTAACTACTACAGTAACATAAAGGTAACTACAACAGTAACATAAAGGTAACTACTACAGTAACGTAAAGGTAACTACAACAGTAACATAAATGTAGCTACTACAGTAACATATAGGTAACTACCACAGTTATATATAGGTAATTACTACAGGTATATATAGGTAATTACTACAGTTATATATAGGTAACTACTACAGTTATATATAGGTAACTAATACAGTTATATATAGGTAACTAATACAGTTATATA